AAAGCCTCTGGAAATCCTCTCAATTAAGCCTTGCTTCCCCCCACGCCTGTACTTTGAAGGAGGGAGAGAGGGTGAAGCATAATGGCTGAGCACAAATCACCGAGAGCCTATTGAAAAAGCTGCCAGTTAGCTGTGTAATATTACCAGCGCTGAAATGCTTCACCCTTTATCCCCCTTTTCAATTGCAAGGCCAGATATTGAGAGCGCAGTAGGTATTCTTGATAAGTCAATTACAACGCTGATGAAACTTTTTATTCCTTCTCCAAAAACCGTCGTGAACGAACAAATCACCAGAATGAAATAAAGCACTTTAATCGACTCTTGATAAAAAATCAAATTGTCCGTCGGACTTTAAGTTTTATTTTTTTGCACGTCAAATGGCTGCAAATGAAAAACAGTGTTGACACCCCATCACATTCCGACCCCAGCGAGGAAAACGGAAATAACCACTTCATCTAAATAAATGCATAAATAGTTGGTTAAAGACTGAAGATGTTCATGAGTCCATCGACCTGAAGGAGGTAGGTTTGAGCTTGTGGTCAACATTTGTCTGATAAAAAAATAAAATAAAATCTTCAATTGTAATCCTCTATTATTTTTTTTTATTTTCTAATTACTCTTAACCACTGTGTTCCCAGTTTACTAAAGGACGTTAAATTCAGTTATCTTCCTAAATACTCTCTGGGTCATTAGTCCCAGTTTTTACATAACTTTTGTGTTTAAAGATGTCCCTGATGGGCTAATTTATTTCTGAGTCATTACTCTCAAGTTAAATTGATCCACATACAACTCCCAACGTGTGTGTGGCGAGTAGGTCTGTCACAATAAACAAGAAATCAATTAATCGCATGATAAATGAAAATTATCAACCTCATTTTCATTTATCGGCTTTATCGTTACTTCGTGTCTCTCTCTTTCTACTGAAGACACTGGATGTCAAAAGGCTCAACTCCAGTGCTCTTCAATGACCCCTCCTATTCTCTTTTCACTTTAAAATCCATATTAATGAGCCAAAATTGTGTTTTTGGATCGTTAAAAGCAGCTAAGCTGAGAAGCTAAGCTACGAGCTAAGCTAACAGGCCGACCTTGGGAAAAATCTCCGTCTTGCGAAAGCTCCAAAATTCACAGTTGAGACCTGTGCCTTTGTGTAAAAAGTTGTTTTTCTCTGCAAAAAGAAGCTGAGAACTTGTTTAATGATTTTTTTTATTAAAACTTTGTGTGAACAATGCTATGCTAAAGAGCTCAAACCACACAGAGCGTCAGCCATTTTGCGAACCGAAAAATCAGGAAGGAGAGACAGCCCATGTCACGTCAAGGTGCCTCCCTCCCATTTTTCTTAGAGACACGCCACTATCCATACTTCGGTTTAGTCTTATATTGCCATCCAGTGGTTGAAAAAAGGTACTACACTCAAAACAAATTAACATTTCTTCTTAAATTTGACAATAATTACTAATTATTGTCAAATTTCATCACATCATAATTTTATTTATCAGACATTTCAAACAATATCGTTTATCGCAATCATTTCTGAGAATTAATTGCGCAGCAAAATTTGTTACAGTGACAGGCCTAGTGGCGAGTGTCATCAGCTGGGGGTTGTTGCCACGTCTGGTCTGGTTCTGTTCAGCATTAACAGAACTGCGGATTGCAGTTTTTCAGTAGCCTCCTAGCTCATAGTCTAGTAACATGATCCCAAACAACTACTTGGTAATATTTAGATGCTCTTCAGCTTTCACTCCATGCACAAATGTTCGTACACCTTGGACTGATGATGATGATGACAGTGGCAAAGAAACTCATTCTATTGACTTGGAAAGCTGCCACTTAACCCAGCTTTGCACACTGGCTAGATAGGGTTATAAATATGGAAAGACTGCGCCTGTCCAAGACAGATTTGAAAGTATGAGGGAAGTTTTCCTCGCCTACATCAACCTTCAACGGCACTTTGTTTCTTTATTCCAGTGGTTCTTAACCTGATCCATAGACTGTGAACCAGTTTTCACTTTATTTTCTTGTTACTTTTCTCAATAAATTGCAAATGTTTATCTGTAATGTCAAATATTTAATTATGAAAGTGCTCAATAGAAATAATAATAATAAATAATAATAATAATATATATTAATAAATAATTAAAAATATTCTCAATCGGTCTTACACAGAATGTGGGGAACTTTAAAACTGAATAAGAAATCACATAATTTTAATAGTTATATTCTGGTACAAGCACGGTGGCTCAGCTGGTAGAGCTGCTGCCACTCAGCAAGAAATGTTGCCAGATCAAATCCTGGCCGGAGGCCTTTCTGGGTGGAGTTTGCATGTTATCTATGTGCATGCATGGGTTTTCTCCGGGTAAAGTAGTCCCTCGCTACTTCGCGGTTTGACTTCTGCGGACTCGATCTATTGTATGTTTGTGGACATACAGTCCAAAATATACAGTATCGGTATTTGTAAACTGATCGATGCCGGAACGCAAATAGTGGGGGCGGCTACTATATAAATATATGTATACATATATATATATACATATATATATATATATAAATACTAAAATAAAATACTACTTGCTACTACTACTTTTGTACATAATTTCCTTCCATCTCATGAACCACATGAGATGGAAATGACAAAGCTTACTTGAACTTGTACTACTATCCCTATTTTGCGGTTTTTCACTTATGCGGGGGGTGGAGCCTAACACATGCGGTAAACGAGGGACTACAGTACTCCAGTTTCCTCCCACAGACCAAAAACATTTATGTTAGACTGACTGGTAACTCTAAATGACCATACCATACCAATTTATTTATAGAGCCCTTAAAACAGCAACAAGGTCAACCAAAGTGCTGTACAATAAAACTGTCCCTAGGTGTGAGTGAGCGAGTGAATGGTTGTTCGTCTCATTTGTCTATTTGTGTCTCTGTGATGGACTTGTGACCTGTCCAGGGTGTACTCCGCCTCTCACACAGTGACTGCTGAATCTGGGTACCAGTGACCCCCATGACCTGAAAAGGAAGAAGCATTCTTGAAGAGGCATAACTAGGCAGCACATTAAACTTTTTTCTATATAATTCAACATAAGGTTCGTGTTTGAAAAAGATTGTTAGCACTACTTGTGCAGATCTTTTAGCGCATTAATCTTGACCTAATCTTATAATTAGCAGTTATACCTCCCCAACAAGAATCCATTGTTTATTAATGGGCTTACATGTTTTCCTGCATAACTACAGACATGTGACTACAGATTGGGTTATTCTAAGTGCTGCAGAAATGTTCTATTTTCTTCTACACCTTTTGGAAACTCTGTTAAGAGAAAATTACATAATGAATCATTTGGTTTTATTTAGCTTATTTGTAGCTAAACTGTTACCAAAGACGAGTGGCAGTTTTCATCACAGGAATGAGACACTTTCAAGTATAACAAAATAGATTCATACAGCCTACAAGTGGTCTCCTACGGCAGCTTTTGCAAAAAAAAAAAAAAAAAAAAAAAAAAAAAAACCTCCAGGAGAAAAAACGTCACTCAGTGTTCCTAATTAGGACGAGAAAAGCTTTAAAAAGCCAAATCTGGAGATAAAAAACATCTTCAAAACAACGGAGGCTACAGTTGGAGCACTTTTCCTGCGGCAGACACCCACTCAGAAAGTGTCAACAACACAGGAGATAGCAGTCTCAGCCAACCTGCGGCAAACACTTCAAAAAAGGTCCCACAAGCCGGGTTTTGGTGACACACAAAACACGGCGCGTGTGCACTCTTACCCAGGGTGGCACAGGTGGTTCAGAATATCACGAGTACAGTTTTACTGTTGCTCTGATGCACAAGAGCAAAAATGACGTACAGAAATGGAAAAAAACACAAAAAGTTCAGATTTTCGAAATATGTTCCATCACAAGACTGTTCAAATTAATTAGTTCCCAACCCTGGTCCCTGAGGAACACCACTCTGCTTGCTTTAGTTGTTCCTCCGCTCCAACACACCTAATTTGAATGAAAGGGTGATTTACAGGCTTCTGCCAAACTTAAGGAAGTACCGTAATTAAACCACTGAATCAGGTGCGTTGGAGCAGAGAAACAACTAAAACATGCAAGGTGGCGTTCCTCAAGGACCAGGGTTGGGAACCAATGAATTCTAAAACGTGAACAGATTCCCTGCATCCCTAAAACATCACTTCAACATTTAGTTTACTCAGCTCAGCTGTCTCCCTGTAGGTTCAAGCGTTTAGCTATGAACATGCTGAATATTTGTAATTCTTTGGTCCTGATAAAACAGCTCTCCTACGCGCTGACAATGAAGAGGCTGCTGTGATGGCTGCCAATCAAGCAGACAGAAAGCTTTCTTCCTCAGTGTTCACTTACAGAAAATACATACAGATGCTCTTCTTTTTCTTTCCTGAATATGTACAAACATCCATTTCCAGCATACCACCCAGACGGCAGAGACATTAAGAAAAACATCCAGTATATATATTTTTAAATACATACAGTTTAAAGTTTATTCAGAAGTCATGTCAGTAGTGAACTGGAAACAGTCGATATCGTTGGAATAAAAGATTACAGCATGTAAGGACAAGGTCAGATCAATGATGTGTGGATGGTTGGAGTTAGTTGGATGCACACTCCATGATTTACCAGCAAAAAAAAAAGTAGCAAAGATTCTCACATTCTGGTTCTCTAAAATCATTTGTCAATTCAAACCTACAAGCCCTTTTTTTTTGTTTCATATAAATGCCACTTAATCTAATAACAAGTTAATACAAAAAGAGTCATGGTCAAATAGTGTACAAAAACACCTTGGAATAAAATAAAATCGTATATACATACCTCTGTACACAGTGGGGATATGAGTAAAAGACATGGATAATGCTTGAATGAGTTGTTTGCTCTCATAAATGTGAGAGTGGGTCAGTATTAAAGAGGTGGGGGGTCCGTGTCATGATGACCCTGCGGCTGTAGATGACATCTGCAAGCTCAGAGACTGTTCGTAGGTGAAACTGTGTTGCAGACGGCATCGTTGTCAAACAGAAAGTGGAAAAAAAAAGATAACTGAAAGCGTTAAAGATGATAAGTGGGGGTGGGCTGCGGTGAAGTATTCATCCTGTCAGGCTGGGACAGGGAGCGCGTGGGTGAAAACAACTTCAGTGGGGATGTTTACTGTTGTTGTTTTTGTTTTGTTGTCAGGGTGCTGTTTGGTCCTACTGTCAGAGTCTTTGTTTACTGTACAATTCCTGAATCGATGGAGACTTGTTTCCTGGTGGTCTTGGGAGGAGGTGGAGGCGGGGTTTTGCTAGGAAGAGGAGGCGGAATGTGCTGCAAAAAGACAAAACGAAAAAAGACAACATGACAAAAATGACTCGACTATAAACCGAAAACAAATGATTAAAATCTGCAATCAATTTAATCAAGAGGTTTGTTTTAATTGTTGTTGGAGAAGTATTTATGACAGCTGGTTGCTATTTTATTATTGCACGCCTGCAAAGGATGGATTTAATGAAACTTAGAAAGTAATCAACTAGATGGACATTATAAATAATTAACTTGTGCTCATTCAAGATGGCCTCACATCTGGGCCAAGTTAAAAAGGGCTATAACTGAGCTAATTGTAAAGTGATTGAGTAGCATGCATTTCTGCAAGAAATGCTCGAACTTTAATTTGCACAAATTCCTATTGAAGCTAATTTTGCAGTCTGAATTAGTTTGCAAGTGACTAAGAAAAGGTAAGTACACTTCAAGTGAGTCTAGAAAAGTTGCAGATTGCATAATTTTGTTAAAAGGTTGTGACATAAAAAAGCTGTAAGAGTAGGGCTGGACGATATGACCAAAACTTTTATCACAATATATTTCTTAATTCAGTCGATAACGATATAATTCAGATATCGATATAAACAATATAAAACCTGCAGTGTTCCCTCAGTGCGGACTGAACTTGGCAAAAGGGCCCTCTCCTACTCCGCTCCCGTTTCCTGGAATATCTTGCAAAAAGACCTGAAGCTCTCGACCTTGACCTTTATTGTGCTTCATCTTCTGACTCTCAGCATATCCTATCAAGTGGAACAAGTTACAGTGCCTTGCAAAAGTATTCAGCTCCCTTGAACAGAGAGAAAAAAAGCTGCTCAGCAAGTGCCAACATGATCTTTGAGGAAGCTATGCTAATGCTAGGCTAATGCTTCCAAATAGTGACTTTTTTTTAGCCGTCTCTCTACTTGTACTGCTGTGATATAGTTCTAGTTCTCCTAAAAAATGAGTTATAGAAACTCAGTCCATTACTTTGTTTTCTTGTTATTGTCTTTATTTGAGATAATTGGTCGAAATAGTGCCTCTGTTGTGCTGAAATTGAGTGTGGAATCACAACAAATTAATTCAGTGTTTATTATTAGAAAAAAATGTGCTCAAAACATGATTTCTAAAACAAATATGAGATATTTATTACTGCAGTACTTTGTATAGGCAAGTACTCTAATGTAACCAACCGTTTCCAAACATGCGCTCTCGCTGCCTTACTGTCAGTCTTTGCCACACAGCGTGCCCAGGCTGTTTTACTACCTGTCTGTGGGTTTCTTACCTGCCCGTGACGGTGGATAAATAAGATTAGTTAACGGAGAGGCGAGGAGAAACGAGAGGATGGCCTGAGTAGAAGTCGGCGAGCGTGGAGAGACGAGCTGCTGATTAACAGCTGGAGAGCTTCTGATGAATGTGAGAGGTAAAGTAATCATCCAATCAATCACGGCCGAGCACCCGGCCGGCTGGCAGGACGAGTATAAATAACAGCAGGGTGGACGGGCAGGTACAGGCTGCTAACTGATAGCTCCACTCATCTGTGACACACATTACAAAGCAGCTAACAGAACTAATTAGATTATAAAAACCTGCTAAACCCACCCACCCACATTAGGACTGGATGTGCAGGAGTGGAGGAACTGTGGAGAAGGTTGACCTAAATGTTCAGTGCGAGGAGCGGACGCGAGCCATGCATCGTTAAGGAGTTACTCTCAGCCCTAATTAAAAAAAAACAACCTACTCTTGGATGTGGTGGGGGCGGCGGTGGTGTCGTGGGAGTCGTCAGGTCTTGATTATCGAGCAGGTTGCCGTAATCCGCCGTGCTGCCTTTCACCGGCAGCGGAGGAGGGACTTCACCCTTGTCAGGGCAGCCCATCCCGTTCAGCTCCAGATCTGTGCGAGAAGGCGCTCATCAGCTCACATTCATCACCAAAAGACATCAGTGTTTCTGGAACAGCAGGGCTCGGAGCCAGAGGACGCCACAAGGACAATTACTGAAAAAGTCTCTGTAACTGAAACTAGGGATGAAAAGGATATTTCAACGCTGTCAGGACAACAAAACTTTGTTGGCCTTTTGTCGTTCTGAACAAGTAAAAAAAAAAAGTAAATAAATCTTAAAGCAGCTGCGACTGATGCGTGAATCAGAATAATCTTTTAGGGTTTTTCCACTAAAGAGGTTCCAGTGCAAAACCAGGATTAGTGTTAAGAGTTGGTTCTTGAAGAATAAAGTAAAAATAGATTTTCTCTCAAAACAGTCACCGAGTTGTCACAGGCGTCTTGAACTCAGTATAGTCTTAAGCTCTAGTGCCGGAACTGGATTTTGAAACATGGGAAATCTCTTTATGACAGAAAACAATGAGACTACAACGCAGAATGTCCTGCTTTAAAGTCCATGTGCTAAATAATAATACTTTAGAAACTGGTCCAAATTGTTTTGACTCCAGTAGATTAAACCAAAACTGTGGGTGTGGTTGCCAACATGGGTACAAAGACCAGCTGAGGTAGGTATGTGAGTGGAACATTGTGCATTGCCTACGGGGGTGCTCAATACACCGATTGTGATCTACCGTCCATTCATTCATTATTTTTTACCCGCTTTTTCCTATTTGGGTCGCGGGGGACACTGGTGCCCATATCCAGCAATCACTGTGTGAGAGGCGGGGTACACCCTGGACAGGCCGCAAGTCCATCACAGGGCTGTGATCTACTGGTCGATCTCAAAGGTATTATAGGTAGATCGTGTGGCATTAAAAAAAAAAAGATTCATCCTCACTATGACATGTGTCACTTGATTGACAGACAGGCCATGAGGCTCCGTTTACACGACGTGAAACTTTCGGCCACTCATTTAGACGACAACTGCCCTCATTCTCTGAAACTGAAGGTTTCTGAATCCAGGTCTCAGATTTGAGATTTTCAGGAGAACCCACCCCCCATCCATATGTGAAATGCTCCGCAAGTGTGAAGTGGCACAAGCGCACTACATGCGGCTGCAGTCCAAAGTTTTTCTGCACTAACAACAGTTATAATAAATGGCAGAGAGCCGAGTGTTTTTGTGCTGCTCACCCTTTTTCAGCAAAACTAATAAAATCCAGTTCCAAAGAGACGTTGGTGTATTCACCAGTTTGGACGTAACAGTCATGAAGACGCTGCATGCACGATGAATAAAGCTGAGCGCAGCATCAGTGTTGCCAGATAAATTTAAAATGTCTTATTTACCCCCTCCTTTTCTGTGCACATGTTCAACAAACAGCACACACCTCATCTTTACTCAGCGCATATGACAGTTTAGGTCAAAATACTATCATTTTAAAGCCACAGTACTATAGCTCATCATGTCTTATCTGGCAACCCGACTGACATGGAAACTACAGCGTTTTTGTATAAACCCCCCCATTTTTGTTGATTACAAAAAACATTGAAAAAACACTAACGTTTCCAGAGGTTGTTCTCGTGTAAACGGGGCCTTATCGTAGGCACATCACTTTGACTTGGTCATTTTAAAAGTAGCTCACATGCTGAAAAAGTCTGGACCCCCTGGCCTAGAATATAGTTTTGCACTAGGCTGGGATTTTCATAAACCAGCCTCTTTCTTGAAACTTTGAGTCACCAACTAGCCACAGCTCAGGGTGATACCAGTTTAACTTTTGGTTTAGCACTGGAAGACATTTGGTGGGGGGAAAAACAAAAAACTTCTTGTAGCATACCTGTGTGGATCTATAAACTCAATCTTCATTCTTTTTTAGAGCTTCACTGTGACTTTCAGCTTGCTTTATATAAAAGTTAAGTTCTTACTGGAACCAGTGTGAAGGCTCAAGGAGCTTTTGTTCCGTGGTGCAATGGGTGGGGGCCCTTGTGATGGGGAGGAGTGGTTGATGGAAGCAGAAGAATGTGCAGGAGACACGGAGAGACGACGGTCTCCCACCATCTGGTTGAGAACCTGACTCTTTGGTCTCTGAGGCCGCAGGGGGCTGATCTGTTGGATCAGGAAGACAAAAAGAAAAGATAGAGTCTTTATCGAGCGGTTAAAGAATATGAAATTATTCAAGTTAACAAAACGGCACCGAAAGGAACATTTTCTGTGCCGCAAATAAGTTGGGACGTTGATGAAATACAAGAAAATTAGTTTCACATCTCCTTTGGGCTTGTTGTGTGCATGTGCGTGTGCAGTCACACATATTAAAACAGTTATTTGTATTCCTAAAGGAGAAAGCCATTTGGATAAATGTGCTTGTCGAGTTGCAGTATTTGTGACGGCAAATAATTGTTTGTATGCATGGCCGTGTTTCCCCCACTTTATTATGGCTGGAATTTAAATATGAAAAGATACGTCCTCGGGGCTATTCTAGCACTGTAGGCGAAATTAACTATCAATTTTGTAATTGGTCAAACTCCAACACGAGCCATGAGGGAGACACTGAAAAATAGCACTCCACTGAGGCGAGTAATTCACCCCCACTACCTAAAAGAATAATTGACAGAGGTTGTGGGGAAAAAAAATAAATAAATAGATGTTTGTGTTGGAGATGAGACATTACAAAGTAACTAAAGGCTCCCACAGACTGGGGCGGACTGTGAGCAGCGCACACTGTCCACAGATGGTTGAGACTTCATACTCGAGCGTACACCCTGATGGGCTGCAGCCAGCTCTGCAGGCAAGGGGCGTTTACCTTTGGGACAAATTGAGGTTGCCGATTGGTCATTTACTGACACACTTACTGGTTGATTGACAGGTCGCAAAAAAACTAAACTAAACAAAAACAAAACGAGAGCTGGCAGCCCAGCGGCAGCGGTGTTCTGTGTTTATATGCTGTTAATAAAAAGTTCTAAAAAAATAAATAAAATAGGGAGCGCTGCAGCTCACACATCAGACCAGCCCACCGGGAAGTCTCCAGAACGTCCTGCAGCCATGCTGGGGCCTGATTTAATTCTCTCATGGCAAATTCCTTCATTTCTCACCATTTCCATGGCATCAATGGAGGAGGAGGAAGAGGTCACTTGCCTCTTGTAAAAAAAAAAAAAAACAAAAGAAAAGAAAATGTAATTAAACCAGATCAGGGATGAAGAAGAATTTGATAGATTGGTGTTGCATGTTTATTGTGCGACACAGAGTACACGTATGTAAAAATTGAGCTTTGCACAGACATGCCCTGCGAGCGTCCGCTTCTAATCTAAACCGGTACACATGGACCTCCACAAACTGAAGTCCGCTCGAGTCTGTGGGAACCTTAAACTATAGTCTGTAGTTCTACTCTGGACCTATGAGGTCCCCCGTCATGCACCAGACGGCTCCACCACTGCCAGGGGGGGTTCCCTTCAATCCCATTCCTGCCTTATCTTTATACTGTGAGCCAAGGAGCATTCCCACTGGGCATGCAGGGCATGGTCACACCTCTCTGTTATAATGGACAAAGCAGATAGAGGAGGGAGATGAAGAGCAGAAGAATAATAGCTGAAAGGAGGGAAAATTAAAAATCAACATATGAAGAGAAACAGCAGGCAGAAAGCCCAAGATAATTCTAATTGGAGAATGCTCTTTACATTTGCAGCTTATTGATATTTATATATTGCACAATTTAATTATCTTACAAGAATATCTTCCCAACTCTCCATTTTCTAGTGAGAACACTTTCAGTTAGTATTTAACTTTGTGAAAAGATGACATCATGCAGTTGTAAGGGAATGAGAATTGTTCAAGAACAACAAAAAGAACAAAAAAACAAAACAAGCAGAAAACAGTGAGGTGGGGAAAAAAAAAAAAAAAAAACTCAAGCGAACACTACCGTCTCTGAGAGTATGACAGCTTCCGCTGGCTGCAGAGTGATCTCGGCTGTCTTCATCTCTTTGTCAAAGATCTCTTGGTGTTTACTGTTCCTCTTCTCCTTCTTCTTCTCTTTGCGTTCCTTTTCGGGTTCGTCCCGGTCCAGTTTGTCCTGAGACTTGGTGTGAAGCTTCTTTGGTAGAAGAGTGTCCAAGTTAAAACTGAAGAAAACAGATAACGTTATAACCACATTTTAATTTCAACTCCCACTTAACACTAAAATAAATCAACCCAGACACGGCTGTAGCCTGTACACAACAGAAAACAAAGATAGATGCATTTTTCAAACAATCATGAGTTACCCGTCTGAGCCAGGTCTGGAGGGGGAGTTGTCTGAGGAGATAGAGGTGACTGAAGCGACCGACAGAGGCCTTTGGGAGGAGGGCATGGTGAAGGAGCGCACCATGGAGGGAGGACGAGATCCTCGTCGTTCATCCGCGGTCAGCTAACACCAGAGAGGAAAAACGATAAAAACGGAAAGATTTCAGTTCAATTTGGAAAAGATTTGTGTTTGCTGAAGCAGGTAAATAGCCAACACACTCAGGTTTAAAGCTGGTTGTACAAATAAAGTGTTTTACTCATACATACAAAGTAAAAACCAGAGTACTGCAAACGGCACATTATTCGCCCATGATAAACAGTAATCTATAGCAAAGACTTGGACAATAAAAGACCGTGTATAACAGGTGTGCCCAACCAGTCGCCCTTGACTTGTATTCTCACAGACATAGTCTCGCGAGTTTTGGGTGCGGTGACACAGCGCTCTCACGAGACTTTAGGCTCAGTAGTTAATGTCGGTGCGCAGAAAACATGGATGGAAAACTAGCGAACAAGCAAACGAAAACTTATTATTTTCACACAGAGTGGGAGGAGGAGTATTTTTTTGTTTATTCTAATTCGAAGTCCATTTGCCTCATCTGTAATTCGAGCGTTGCCTTACCCAAAAAGTGTAACTTGGAGCGGCATTTCAAGACGATGCACAAACGGTTTGAGACAGATTTCCCTCTTAAAAGTTCTTTACGGACTCAGAAAGTGCGGGAGCTAAAAAACAAGCTTGCAGCCCAGCAATCAGTCTTCACTCGCCCCAGCACACAAGGTAAAGCTGCTACGATAGCTTCCTACCGTGTTAGCCGCATCCTGGCTCAACATAAGAAGTCTTTCAGCGATGGACAAGTTATGAAAGAAGCGTTTATTGAGGCTGCAGATGCGCTTTTTCATGATTTTAAAAATAAAAGTGAGATCGTAGCTGCTATTAAAGACGTGCAGTTGTCCAGACAAACAGTGACACGGCGATGTGAGGGAATGGCTGTGGATGTGGAGGAGCAGCTAAAAAAGGACGTGGAAGAATGTGAGTGTTTCTCTCTTCAGTTTGATGAGTCGACAGACATGGTGGATGTAGCCCAGCTGTGTGTTTTTATCAGAATGGCCTTTGCAGACATGAGTGCAAAAGAGGAGCTGCTCACCATCTTGCCTTTGAAGGGACACACAAGAGGAGAAGATATTTTTAATGCGTTTATGGAGTTTGTTAATAAAAGCAACTTGCCCCTCTTTAAACTAATTTCTATAACAACTGATGGCGCTCCAGCAATGACTGGTCACACCAGTGGATTTGTTGCACTCTGCAAAATGACATTGGGATCAAATCCAGAGCATCACCTGGCGTGGATGGAGAGTTCTGGAGTCTGCTGTCAGAAGAAAAGTATCCTAACATCTGAAGATGTGCTTTGAACTTAACAGCACTTTTTGGATCTACCTACCTGTGTGAGTCTGCTTTTTCACACATGAAAATCATCAAGTCCAAAAACAGATCCACAATGAATGATGATCATCTGGAGACCTGCCTGCGCCTCGCAACCACCTCATACTGCCCAGCTTATGAGACCCTGGCCTCCTCCTCTCAGTGTCAGAAGTCCCACTAAGGTAGAGACACATTTATTTTATACAGCTTGCATAAAAAGTTGTCTCCTATAGACACATCACGTTCTGTTTTATTTACTTTAAATAAGTGAGGAGTAGGGATTGATGAAAAATTTTGTTTGTTGATAATGAGACTGGACGAGTAGCTCTCGGCAAATTGCCGACTTCAAAAGTAGCTCTTGGTTCAAAAAAGGTTGGGCACCCCTGGTGTATAACCTTTAACATTGATTTGTGACCTTGAAGCTGGCATGGTGACACTCCGTCTAGTGACGATGCATATCAAGTTTCATTAAATTATCTTGAATGGATCAGAAGTTATGGGCGGGACGAGAGCAAGTTTACTGATGGACGTACCTACGACGAACAGAGACCTCACCATAATATGTCCGCCTTTTAACGGGCGTTTGTTAACTGATGTGGTGCTAATAATTTCTGCCAGAACCGGTGGCTGATAAGATCTGGTAGAAAAACTTTTACAAATGAGCTCTACTGTACGTCAAAAGTATTTTCAGGCAAAAAGTAAGAAACCACGTTTAATACAATAACCTTATTATCAGACTCTGGAAAGTGATGGCTTCTTTATCATTTGAAAGGTCGCCACCCTCTCCCTTTTAACTGAGCAAGGACCTCTTTACCACAGGCTACACTGAGAGAAATGCTTGGCCAAGCAACAATTAAACCTGTAAAAAAAAGAAAAGGGAAGCAGTCCCCAGTAGCAGCAGTCCACTGCAGCAAGCCGACTTCAGCTAAAAAAAATAAAATTAGTGGGATAGATGAGCTCTTTGTTCTAAAGAAGATCAAAATCACGTGCTTGTCATTTAAAATTAGGCTTTTAACAATTAGCCTAGTAGTTTCCTTAATGATAAAGCTTGCTTCATTTTCATGTTAATACACCATATTTTGTAATGTACATCAGATTCTGGTGTCAGTTTAATATCAATGTGCAATTCTAATGTTTTAAAAGCAGATAAACAAAAATGACCTTGTCTGGAGAAAGTCCTACTTCACTTGCTCTCCTGCAGAAAAGGACAGAGTTCACAGTTCTGCTGGCCAGGAGGCTTATACCGCTAAACAGTAAATCTGCAGCTCAACCTACAAATACAAACTGGCTTAAATAGAGGTAGACTGAATATGTCTGGCATGCTGCATCATATAAAATAACCTGACGCTGACATAAGCTAAGATGTCCACTTTAGAACTTGGTTCAAATTTTTAATGCATCTCTGCCTGAGGTCCTGATCAGAACCAATCAACCACGTCCAAACAGAAACTACAACAAATTACTATCAAAGAACAATAATTTTAATCATGAATGATAAAATCACTGATGTTTCATCAATTGAATTATTTGTTTCAAAGTCTTTTTTTGTGCAAGCTTTCTATTTTTAAAACGTCTATTGTTCTCATTATTCCCCATTACAAATCACATGTTCGAGTCCAGAGGCCAATTTGGATTGATTCCACCTTTTAGTACCACTTCTGGGGATCAAATAAATTATTATTTTATCTTCCTACATATCTATGGACCACATCAAGCCATGATAACCCTGCCTAATGAGTAGCTTTCTAGTGGTTATCGCTCCTTAAACACCCCCATGTGTCAAATATGAACACATATTTTGCTGTAGTAGTTTTATTATCACAGCTTTATAAATTCACATGTTCTTAAGTATTTATCAAATATACCTTATTTACAAGCAGACTCATGCAATAAACAATATACTTGTATCCAAAAAAGTTCAATCTGGTCCTCTGGACATTCAAAAAAACAAAGCAATAGAATTTTTTTTTTATTTGTTTTGCTTTTGTTTTTTTGAATGTCCAGAGGACCAGATTGAACTTTTTTGGATTTTTCTACCTGGATTATTGAGCATGCATCAAGATAAATATACTTGTATCCAAGTTTTAACAAAATCAATGTTTACTTTGGCTTACTGTTCAAAGATTCACTTCCACTTTTTAGTACTACAGCATTATAACCATTTAAAGACCACTTCAAAGGCATGTGCAATCTGGCAGCTTGCATGACCTTGCACATGAGCAAGGTAACAGGTCCAAAAGAGTCTATGGGGAAAGCGACCTTTTCAAAATTAATCACCAAAAGCCCATTATCAGTTGGTTGTGGTACATGTGGTGTGCACTCAAAGCACCTCCTCTGTATAGCAGCCTGGTACTTTGCTCTCAGTGCATGCATGAGGAGGAAATCATCACATGGTGGAAGCTGACTGGAGTCGATCTCTCCTCGCCTGGCACAGAAGAGCTGATATCTTCATTCATTAAATTCAGTTGTGTTTGAAGATGTGAGGTACATTCAGCAGGCTGTTTCCTGAAGTTTTTCCTAACTAGTCAGTGGAAACCTCCCATGATCTTCCCAACTCTTCGCATGTCTTGCCGTTTCTCGGTTGGTGACTTTCCTCGCTGAGAGGAGCCGACTGACACAACTAGAAAATACCAGACCACCCAATGAAGATACCAAACGTTGGACTTTTTATTAAGGACGTTCACATTTAGTTCACCAGTCAGTATGGTCAGCAGGAAAGTAGTAACAGGTTATGGAAGGATACTTTTACTTGCATCAGGTGGCCAAGTTCGGGTGGAATAATTTCTAATGTGTCGTAGCTCCAGGGCTGCTTTTCTGATGACACTGTTGTATGTGGAAGCTCCTACTGCACTGAGATCCTGCTCTATCTGATGGTCTGACGTTTGACAAGCAATTCACGTAATACACAAGAACTTTGCCTTTCTCATTCGATATAGAGAGCTCCTGTTAATGCACTCTAACTTCCTGTGGATGTGTTTTTTGGTCGATGAATTAAACTGTGCAAAACCAGCAGATAAAATGGTTTCCTCAAGCTGTGGCGCGAGATCCCTCAAAGTTAATAGAGTACATGTTGTGGCAACAGATCATTTCTTGTATTTCTTATATGCATAGAGCTGATCAAATGCTTCTTCATCTGCCTTCTCGTATTCTGATGACTCATCAGGACTTCTATAAGCAGCCTCTGTTCGTCCTCTGCTTGCGTATGATTTGTAACATGATTTGTGGTAATGCTCGTCTGCCGCAACAAGATCATGACTCAAAACTGCAAGAACCTTTTCATCAAGTTTCCTTTAAGCTACCTCTCTCTGTCTGGCATCAGCTCTCTTCTAGATACATTGAGTTAGATGTTCCCTTGTTCGTGTTCCACTAATATATTTGCTTGAACAGTTGCAGAAAAATGCATTTCTTTTCATATACTCTTGAAGTACTTCCAGCTTCTTTGGATGATTTCCTTACACTGGTATCTTTACCCTTAAAATTTCCACCTGGATCTTCACTTCCTCTGTTTGTGATAGCCTCAGGAAGTTTTTTTTTCATAGTAAACATACTGCAACGTTTTTTGTGATACTGGGTTTGTGGTACTTTACCTTCTTGTAAGCCTCTAGCTATATCCAGAAGTTGGGTATGTTGTTGTATTTCTGTGGATCTTCGCAATGTTTTCCATGATTCTAAACCTTGCAGAGTATCTAGTTCTGAGTCATCGTCTGTAAAATGAATAATACAGCTAATCATTGTGCGTTTCTCTGGACAATGCTTGTCCTAGCTTGGCAGATTCTTCATACATATGTTACTTCTTTAAACATCTTCTATATAGATAACCTTACTAAATGATATTTTATGTATTTGAATGTTTTTGTTCAGCGCCCTGAGCCCACTTCTGTTGTAACTTGGCGCTATATAAATAAACTGAACTGAACTGAATCTGAAAAGCAAAAATGATTTATTAACAATATGTTTTAAAAGTGGTAAATATTGCACCACTTATTTTAAGATGAAATCCATTCACCAGATTGTACATAAGTAAAGTAGTATAATAATAAGTTTTTTTTTAATTAACTGCAACTTATTATGCATTTATTAACAAACAACATGAAAAAATAACTTGCAGATAAAATCTCCTCCAGAATCTGCAAAATGTATTAAACACGTATACAATGTATTTACCAGCACTAGTATATGTAAAACAAGTACAGGGCAAAAACACATATATAAAGAAAAACTAACAACGCCAGGTAAATGTATTCGTGATTATACTAATAAAAAGCCCAGAAGAGTTATACAACATAACCAAATCATAATAGTGTGAAACCTGGCAAAATTTAAAATGGCTGCCAAAATACCATCATGGGGTATCAGGAGCCAACAGACGCATCCTTTGTGGTACTTAGAATTTTCTATCAGTCTATAAACGTAACTTTTAACAACTTAAACTGGAGGTGTGCACAACTTTCTCTAACCACTAGAATATTATAGTTTTAATCTCAGCCATTTCAAATCTTCTTTAAACTAAGAAATTAAGCTACCATATTGAAAAGGCTTTCATATACTGTATATATATATACTTATATATTGTCCACATGAACATTTTGAAACAGATTGTTTGGTCCCCTTAGGTGGTACCTACATCTTGTTTGGCCCCTGGACTATTCCATGCAGCATTAGTTCCACCAGGATGATACAATGGTTCAGATTTTTGCAGCTCATTTGCAAACCTTGTTAAATTCAATACAATTCAATTCAGTTTATTTATATAGTACAAAGTCACAACAGAAGTCATCTCAGGGCACTGAACAGAAACATTCATATGCATATGCATAAAGGTTCAAGATTCTTTATTGTCATTTGCATCACATGGAACAAAATTGTGTACCCAAGGTCCCAGTTACACCTCACAATAGCAAAAATATAAAGTATAAAAAGAAACTGTATACAAGGACCTAAGATATACGCTAAACACTAATAATGCAAAAAAAATATGGTATATTAAACAGCAGCTCGAACATGAGTCTGTAGTGAGCAGATGGGCATGAATGAATACTGCAGTTTAAAGGTGAGAAATCAGCAGCATGGATAATCAGCAGCGCAGATAAGTTGAGGATCAGCGGCATGGATAATCAGCAGCACTTAAAAGTTCAATTAAATTGGCATTACAGTGATTTTTTTTTTTACAGTGATTTTCCTGGTTAGGGATTTATGAGTCTAACAGCTTAGGGTAGAAGCTAGGGATGGGGCTGATCCGATCCAATATCGGTATAGGGTTCCGATACCAGTATAATTTACGTAGCTGATTTTCCGATCCAACCTGCCGATATTTCCGATCCATGATGCATGCCTGTTGTTGCGCAGCACGTTGGCTTCAAACTATGGAATGGATTTTCTGAACGGAGGCGTGTCTCATGAACCCAGAGTAATAAGACCCACCTCACATTCAGGAAATCCAGTTCATAGTTTGCAACCAGCTACAACGTGAGGACTGAGTTAGCAGCACTGTGGCTACCAGCTAACCAACTTTTCATGGAAACATGTCCGCTGTGTGGAAGTATTTTACACTAGAAACACCACAAAACAAGACAGCAACATGAAATGTCTGCAGAGCCATAGAGCCACATTAAACCGCGGTAAAGTTAGTTTTACAATGGACATTCAAGCTCCGGAGCTTCAGCGGTCTGTTATTTTCGTTCAGTCCGGAGAAGGCAGTCTGATTTTGGTCAGTCACGCTCAGTCTGACCTGCTCAGTCTGTCTGTGTCGGAGGAGGGGCAGACTGAGCGCGGCTGACCGAAATCAGACTGCTTGTTTCGGATTGAACAAGAAGAAGACATCGCAGAAACCACGGAGCTCAAATGTTTACTGAGAAGTTGCTAAACTTCATCGTAATTAATGACCAACCACTATCAGTTGTAGAAAACTAAGGATTAAGCAGCTTGATATTTGCAGCCAAGATACAGTTTACCCTCCTGGAGATATTTATCAGTACAACAGTAGACAATCATAAAAAAACATATGATTTGAAAATTACAAGAAAATTATATATATATATATATATATATATATATATATAAACGAAACAAAAACTGCTACATTATAAAGTGATGTAAATAACTAAAAACAGGAACATGTCTGTTGGTTTATGCCATGAACTTAGCAGATGTTTAAAGCAATTTAACATTTATTTAATTAATTCATTCATTCATTCATTTTAAAGAAACAAAACAAATTAATCAAAAAGAAAACATTGAATGAAAAGAGTGCAGAAAGAAGAAAGATCTTATATCTGCCCCTTATTTTAAAAAATATAAAATAACTTTAAACAATCACTTAAATTAATCACTTTAATATCCACTTTAAAGCTAGGAATAAAAAGAAACATGTTTTGTGTTAGCAGAATTTAATTCTAACTTTAAAACTTATCCAACATTAATACAACTTATCTCAAGTTGCCTTTTTGGACATGCATGCATATATTTGTACAAATTGTACTCGAGAGGAGATTATTACAGCCTCATATAAAATCAATGATGATCATGATATCGTAACTGGCCGATATTTAGATTTAGGTATCGGAAATTTTAAAAATGTGGATCGGTGCATCCCTAGTAGAAGCTGTTCCTCAGTCTAGTAGTTCTGCACTTAATGCTTCTCAACCTCCTTCCTGAGGGGAGTGGGGCAAAAGTGTGTGTGCTGGGTGAGCGGGGTCCTTCATGATGCAGGTGGCCCTCTTCCTGTATCTAGAGGTATAAATGTCTGTGATGGTGGGGAGACTGACTCCAACAGACTTGTGTGCACCTTCACCACTCTCTGCAAAGCTTTTCTTTCTACAGCTGTGCAGCCTCCGTGCCACATGTTGATGCTGGAGCACAGGATGCTCTCCACTGCACACCTGTAGAAGGAGGTAAGGACTGAGCTTCCCAGTCTAGCTCGCCTCAGCCGCCTGAGAAAGTGGAGTCTCTGATGTGCTTTCTTGTTGCCCCAGCTGAGGTTGTCATTCAGGTGCACACCCAAGTACTTGTAACTGGAGACCACTTTCAACGCAGATCCTCCTATGTTCGGGGGGAGAGGCGTGTTTGTTCCTTCTGAAGTCCACAATCATCTCCTTCGTCTTCCTTACATTGATGTGAAGGTTGTTCTTCCTGCACCAGCTCTTTAGGTGTTCCACCTCCTGCCTGTAGCTGGATTCATCATTGTTTGTGATGCATCCCACCACCGCTGTATCATTTGCAAACTTTACACTTTGGCAGCCTGGATGGGTAGGTGCACAGTCATATGTGAGCAGAGTGAACAGGAGGGGCCTCAACACACAGCCCTGAGGGGAACCAGTGCTGAGGGTTATGGTGGAGGAGAAGTTGTGGATCCTCACTGACTGTGGTCTGTTAATAAGTCTAGGACCCAGTTGCAAATGGAGGGACTTAGTCCTAGTGTGAATAGTTTGTCCATTAGAGTTTGGGAATCATGGTGTTGAAGGCAGACGTGAAGTCCACAAAAATATGGACGTAGAAGTCCTTCTGCTTCAGGTGGGTGAGAGCAGTGTGGACCACAGAGGAGATGGCATCTTCTGTAGATCGATTCTCGCGGTATGCGCACTGATGTGGGCTCTCACTGATGTTGATGGTAGCTTTGATGTGGGCCATGACCAGTCTTTCAAAACATCTAGCGACTATCGAGGTGAGGGCTACAGGCCTGTAGTCATTTAGACCAGTCACTGCAGAGCTCTGAGGAACTGGGATGATGGTGGCGGTATTCAAAAAAAATCTTCTAAAAATCTACAAAGTAAGTTAATAAAATTATTTATATGAGGAAAATGGGTTTATGAGTTTAAATGGGTTGGTTGCATCCAATTCCAAACAAGAACTCTGTTTAGTTCAGACTAAAGTCGTCCTTTGAGGACAGGGAGTTTATTATGATTAACTCTGCTACAACGTCAAACAAACTAGTTCAAGGATTCTTTAATTATGTATGTTGTGCGTTTACCATTTTTTAGTTTCCTCCTACCTGTGAACCAAATCACCTCCTGCTCATAAAAAGAACACCTCGTAACTTTATGCTGCAAATTATTTAAAAGCCATTGCCTTCTAGTTTTAAGTTTAATTTATACAGCTTTCAAAATTGGAGTGGTACAAAATGGATAACCAGAAAAAAAAACATGCTTCTAAGCATATCCTGGCAGGAAAATATCTTTTACAAATAGCCCCCCACAAAAAAGCCCCACTCACCAGAGTTTTCACCCCGTACTGCTTTTCCACCTTCTCTCGCAGCTGTCTGAAGCAGGCCTCCAAGCGGTCGTGGAAAGGCCTCAACGCCTCGGTGACCTTCTCACCATGGATGCGAACACCTTCAGCCAGATGTGGAATCTGATGGAACAAGACACCAGCGTGAGAATCCTTCCCCGGATAAACTCTGAGAGACATGATCGGTCTGCCACATGTCCAGTTTTCATTTATCCGTGGCAGCCACAGACATTTTAATGACTGTGTTCTTTAGGTCTTATTGAAACATGCGGTGAATGTGCATCCCTTTGAGTGTAAGAACAAAGAGCTGGTGTCGATAGGATGCGTTAGAGAGAGCCCTGTTGCCATGACACTCACTCCCTTTCCTGCCACAAAGATCACCACATGTGACAGAGGAAAAAGTTCAGAATGACTACATCTATAGGCAGGAAGAAGCTGTGATGGATGCTTTCTCCACCACTGACGCAAATAATGACGCAGTGCGCCTTTTCATGTTCACCTCTCACGATGTAGGAAGCCGGTGAGTAACAAATTCTCAGCACATAACAGCAGCACCACAGGTAAAGGGAGAACGAAGGAGAGACTGAGGCTGCTGAAAGCTGGTAATTAGGAAACCCCCAGTGGCACAGCCAGTGTCAGCAAGCTTTGCTGACTAAATCTGGAGAGCGGAGAAAGCATCATTCCTCAGCTACCAAGCAGCATATGAATAATTTTCCCCCCTGCTCTGCTGTGGGGAAATCACAGGTAGAGTTGTTTTATTTTGTTGAGTACTTTTTTTAAGGTGATGCTTTTGTGCAACATGCCATCTCGGGCTGTGGTACGGCAGAGGTGGTAAAAGCAGTGTTTTTCCTTTTATACAACAAATCGAACTGTTGTAAGAAATGCTGTTAATGATAGAAAAAAAGTTTATGCTTTGGAAATAACTAAGACTGAAAATAAATCCCAATAAAGGTGATATACATCAAATCTAACAACGTTAAATCAGGTCCTCTGGATGGATATACATGAAACTTAATCACAGAAAGGTAAATGTCTAAATTTAACGTGCAGATTTCTGGAAAAGAGGTTCTGTGGAAAAGCTATGAACAGCTAATGTCCTACCTGTTGTAGATGTGATGTTGTTTACGAAGCTTTAGTTTATAATGAATGATCATTATAAACCTTTAAATCATTGTTTATTTTAAAGTTATTTACATAGAAAACAATTATTCACAGTATAGAAACAAGTCGAGTAATTCCAGTTGAAACGTTGTAATATTTCTTATAAAATAACCAGGGCATGCAAATTATGCAAAAAACTGTGACTTATAGGACGAAAAATACGGTACATGAAATTTGTGATTGTTAAACAGCAGCCATCTGCTTAGATCTTGGCTTCATTCAGACTAACTGTTAACGTGTTAATCCAGCCAGAAATAAACCACTTCTCCAAACTTCAATCGTTCATAGAGCTATCAACAACAGGTAAGATGCTCATTGTTCTTCAGCTTTCGACAGAAGCCTTTCTTTAAGCGATTTGAACTATTTCTTTACCTGCAGATGACATTTTGCCCAGCAGCTTTTACGGTTAACAAAGCCACCTAAACTCAGAGCAAATGGAACAAAAAGTGTGTGTGAAGTGTCTGGCAGGTGGGCTTAAAGCCTTTCTTCTTTTTCGCTGAGGGCAAACTGCCCCTTTACACCAGACTTCAGAAAGGACTGGCTTCACTCAGCTGGCACCCAGCACCTTTTCCCTTTTGTGATGCAACTTTCTGTAATAACCTCAAAAGGCCCACGTTTCATTTAAACGAGCCTCCACACAAACTAGGCTTGTAAAGAAGGAGGCGTATCTGTGGTGTTTCTTCAGGTTTCTGCACTAAAAGCATCCTGGAGCAGGTATCATAGGAGATGAAACCCAACGAGACCAACTGTGCTGCGCTTCACAAAACCAAAGCTCTGGCACACAAAGACAAATGAGAGGAGGCAACACACGCTGTCCATGGATTTCCCCTGATATTGAGCGCCTTCATCACGACTGCTGCTGAAGGAGAAAACAGAGAAGAGGAAACTAGAAAAGGAATAAGCAGCAGAAGAGGCACGAGTGACGAGTAGGAGAAAACTTTAGGGAGAGGAGGTAAACGAGTAGTGAGATAAAAAACAAGAGTGAAAGCTGAGGCAAGATTCACGTCTCCAGGATACCCACATCTTTTTATAGACCTTAGGATGATTAAGGGAGCCTGAGTGGTGGCATGGCAACAGAGATCTGCTTGGTGGCCGATAAGGTCTTTGTTAGGCTCAAGGCCAACAAACACATTTACATTTGTAATGGCACGCAGAAACTTTTCAGGACGTTTCAACTCCAGGCAGGCAGTCTGAAAACAGACATGGGGTTAAAGATGAGGGATATCAGCAGATTATTTTTTGTAAGTGTTAGGAAATGGAGCAATGATGCTGCATTCATGGTAAAAAGTTCTGATCCCAACTTGAACGTTACACCTCTGCTATTGTCGGATGTTTTCTGCTACAATAAAGTTCAAATAACAAATAAGATAATGGAGTATAACTTGCCTATTTATTAATTTATGATTTTTGTTAACTAACTAGATGAATACAGAGAAATTTAGGAGACAATAAGATATTTAAGATTTTTTTTTTCCAATATGAAAAATAAAAAGCGGCACCTGTTGTCAGGGTGATTGAAGATTTATTGTGTTATTTTTACTTTAATTTTTGGTGTTTTATTCCCCGTTTCTTTATTTTCAGAGTATTTCCTGTTGTATTATATCTTTGAATTTGCTCATCATTCTTGTTTGAGCTTCAATGTTTTCTAAAATTGTTCTCTCTCTCAGGGCTGCGAGAAAAGAACGACAGCATTTTTTATTTTTTTTTGTTCTCACCGTCCTGGTTTGGGAGTTGCAGCATATTCTCGACACGTCAACCAGGCAAAACTTTTTCTTGTGTGGTGCCCTACAACTATTGGTCAAAACATTTGAAGTGGGCGGGGTTAATGTTGAAAAGAGGAAATGTTCTGCACTTGAGTTTCTTGTGAAGTACGAAATGCCCTATCCAGAACAAACTTTAAGCTTGTTGGAAGTATACTGTACTTTGCAGCCTATAAGGCGCAGTTTTTTGCACAAATTACATTCCCTGCGACTTATAGGCCGAAGCAACATATTTACGGATTATTTTTTCCATATTTATAAACCTCTTTTTGGCTTAGATATGACTGTTTTCATTCATTCTGGCTGAAAAAAAAAATTGAGCGGTACCACTTTCAGCCACTTGATGGCAGCAGAGTAAAAATAGTGTATGGCAAGCTGTTGTATCATGTAAAAGGTAAACGTGGCTATAATGACAAATTCCAAAAAGTTCACGACTAAAACAGCTGGATTTTATTTATTATACTTTACTTTATACTTTCTTGTTTATGTCTTGAACTTTTTTGAATTTACCATGTCCTGGATGACTGAGAATCTTCACCAGCTATTAATGACTCAATCAGCCTGCCGTCTCCCCACTTTCATTCTGCTCGTTGCTTGAAACCATCAAAACAGCTGCACCACCCCGGCAAAATGCGGCTAATTTGACCACGAACGTGCATTTATTAAGCAAATGTTAGACTGAGACACACCTTAGCTATAATTTTGAGCAAACAAATAATTGTTTAGGTGTTTATCTTGTTAAATTTGCACAGTGACTCATCGCATGCACGCATTTACTTCCATGTATCGGGTTTTGAAATACAGCTGATTTGACCCTCAAAGTACATTTATTAAGCAAACGTTAGATTGAGACTCACATTTACTATAATTTAGAGGAAAAACAAAATTGTTTTTAAGTGTTAGTCTTGTTAAATTATTGTTGAAGTCCTCCCGTGCACACTCCCACAGCTGCCATTTGGCAGCCCATCGGTTTTTGGCACAACACTGGTCCACATTTCCGGGTTCGGTCCACATTTCCGGGTTGTCAGCCGTGACGCATAACAAACGCATAATAGATGTGACGTATACGGCAAAGTGACATATTTATGGATTTTTCCACTTTATTAAAGAAATATGGACTGATGCAACTTATAGGGCGGAGCGACGTGTCCGGCGGAAAATACGGTAAGTAAGTGAACAATTTTATTGATTCTTGCTTGTAACCAGATTATTCATTATTGTTTTGCCTCAGTGTTCCTTGAGCTCATTGCCCTCCAGCCCAGATGCATTCACTCTGTAATCACCCCTCCCAGCATACATATACTCCTAGTTTTCTTTCTCTTTAGCTACTCAAAATAATTTTTTTCATAGCTGTTGGAATACTTTTTGTGTCACTCCTAGAATTTTCCTCTGGATTCTGCCTTTTTGTAACCACTTTGTACACTTCATCATAACATCTGTAAAGTCAAAAAAAAAAAAAAAAATACAAGTTGTAAGTACCTATCTTACAGCTCCTTTAAACATAAATTCACAGGATGCTATGAACCCTTAGATGTTTACTGAGAACAAGGAAACTGGCATATAAAAAAGTTGTATGAATTTCCTGATCCCCATCAAAATGACAGCAGTGAACAAATAAACTCCCAGACCCATTGAAAAACAAGGAAATACCTGTTTTAGCATCTGACAAGTGCAAAAGAAACACCACTGCTCTTTAACATCACCAGTAATTGTTTTTAACTGATCCCAGTCTCTAAGTCCCAGTTTGACGCACAATAATCCACTATGAGCGGGCTGAGAAGAGCTTTTATAATGGTCAAAGGGTCTTGGGAGATGTACGCAGCTGTAGTTGAGTCAGGCAGACAAACATAATATGAAATGAAAGCACCAGAAGTAAAGGCTTTGTAAAAGAAAAATCAATTCAGAAAATACATAGACTTGATGTATAGTTCTACATTTCAAGCTATTGATTACTTTGAAATTCTTGCCACTTTTTCACGAGACGATAAGGCGATAATTAAGACTCCCCATTCAGAGAACGTACCGTATTTTTTGCTGTATAAGTTGCGTTTTTTTTTGCATAATTTGCATGCCCTGCGACTTATAGGTCAAAGCGATGTATTGATGGATCCCCCCACATATTTATAAACCAATTTTTGGCTCAGATATGACTGTTTTCATTCATTCTGACAGAAAATATTGAACACTACCATTTTCAGCCACTAGATGCCAGAAGAGTAGTAAGGCATGCCGTTGTATCGTGTAATAGGTAAAAGTGGCTATAAATGACACAGCTTGTCATAGCCTGCCACTGTCGTCTGCCTGGAGCAATAAAATCAGCTTCATTTCACTGCGCCGCTCTGGCAAAATGCAGCTGATGTGACCGTCGAAGTGCATTTATTAAGCAAAAGGTAGACTGAGACACACCTTCACAATAAGTTCAAGCAAACAAACAATTGTTTTTAAGTGTTAATCTTGTTAAATTCTTGTTAAATTCCTCCCGTGCATGCTCCCACGGCCGCCATTTAGGCAGCCCACCGATTTTTGGCACAACACCGGCCCATATTTCCAGGTCGTCAGCGGTGACGCATAATAGACGCAACGTATACGACAAAGTGACATATTTATGGATTTTTCCACTTTATTAGACAAATTTGGACTGATGTGACCTATAGGGAGGTGCGAAGTGTACGGCGGAAAATACAGTACTTCATGTTAAACATACAAAAAAAAAAAAAAAAAATCTGTTTTCTATCTGCCAGGGAGCTTTTTACAATATTTAGTTCCCTGATTTCCAGACACCTATTTCCTTTCTAATTATCAGTTGAGCACAATGGCTTCCTCATTTCTCCACGTTTAGTTTGTTTGTTAGAGCCTGTTCGCCTTCATTCGTCTCATTTAGACAAACCCAAGACAAAAGACTAATTAACAAATCTGCAGTTTGTAGCAAGGAGACAGCTGACATTTTAAAGCTGATTAAGTTCTACCTTTAAAAGTGTTCTCATGTTTGCCGTCAGCTAAGTGAAGAGACATTTCTCTTTTCTTGTAAACAACAAGCTAATCTGTGCCTGGAGATCTGATATTTTAAACACAGAAATAACATTTTTATCCAGCTAAAGCTGCTCTTTCATTACATTCAGGGGTCAGGCAGATTTTTTTAATCATCTTTCACCACGGATAGTGGGAAATATGTAAAATACAGATGGATATTCACAACTTTGCAGAAAAATAGAAACTTATTTTAGGTCATCCTCTCATGCTGCGTCACCTCCAACTTCTTTAGTGATTCCCGACATTTCCCCAAGTTAAAAAAAAAAAACAAAAAAAAAAAACTTAAAGACGAAAATAGCAAAGCAGACGTATATGGGAAACAGTAATTACAAGAAATGCATTACGAGTGAGCGGCATGAAAAATGACACAAAGCTTGAAGACTTCAAAGCCGAAGCAGAAGAAGCGACGCAAGATTTGGAAAATTTCTGTGAATCGCGGTTACTTATGAAGTAAAAAAGGCTCTGCGAACACAAAAGGAGCACAACTTCTCAGATTCTGATTCCTACCAGAGATGAGAAACACAAAGTTGACCTATTTTCCAGCAACTAAAACAGGAGCAGCCATCAAAAAATCAATTATGTTTCCTTGCAGCCAGAGATAGGAAGTGACAGACAAATGTATATCTGGGATTAATTCCTCGGTGAATTAATGCCATGAAGCTTTGAGTTCTTGAATAATGATGTGACCCACAGTTCAGAGCTTTATGGTAAAGCAAGCATTATAATAATAATAAAAAAAGGAAACGAAGCTTACAAAGCAGGCTAAAATCCCAAAGGGAGTAAGTTGTGACTGGATAGTTAGCCCGGAGTTTATCAACCCAAGATGAAGCACAAACGAGGTGCTGAGTTTCACAGTGAGCTGTTTAACAGCATGTGCTTGTCGTTTGAGTGTGCAATCCTTGTCTGCTGTGTCGGCACTTCCTCCGAGCTCGTAAAACACCACCGCTGATCTCTTGCCGTCTAGCTGAGGTGGAGCAACCTGACAACTTCTGAACGTTTGTTTCAGCACTTTTCCTCTACGTGATCTCCCTAAAACACACCTGCTCACGTCACTTTATCGCATCAGACACTGTAAAGTTATACAAGTAATAGTGTATTTTCAGAGAGCCTTTTTGTTTGGTAGCAGAAGATTTTTCTTATACAGATGGAAAAAAAAAAGGTTTTAAGCTTTCTTAAAATGGAAGGAGTCTCAGGTTTGAAAACATGCGGTATAAGGTGATAGTTTTAGATCAATTGCTGCAGTTGTGCAGCTGTTTCGAAAACGTTTATCCGTCTGTGGGTTCATTTCTTTTGAATCGGGGGGGCGATGACAAGCTGGGAAGAGATGAACCTACTGTATTTTCCAGTGTACAAGTCGCTCTAGAGTATAAGTCGCAAAAAAAGCATCATGAAGGGGAAAAAAACCCCGTATATAAGACACTTTGGCGTGTAAAGCCCTATTCACATGGGAGTAGTTTTACCTAGGGACCACATGTAATAAATAAATTACTCCCCAACATTTGCTTTTCATGTGGTGCGTTCGCACAGGATAACCATAAGAGCCACTAGCTCTCCAGTGTTCTGCCCGCACCAGCTGAGGGAAGCGAGCGCGCACGGGACGACTCGCTTTTGCATTTCTTAGAAATTTAAAGTGTCAGTTAAAAACTGCGTTATGAATATGGAAAAAACAAACAAACAAGTATTTAAGTTGCTTCGGCGTATAAGTTACAGGACTGATAAATCTATGCAAAAAAACTGTGTGGTACTCTTAAATAGAAGGAACGGTTTGACAGTTGGAGGAGGTGTACCTTAAATCGCTGTTGACCTACCATTTCATCAATATTGTTGTCTTTATCACCTGACAATTTAAATATGCATTAGAGACATAAAAACTACTGGTCAACACTGAGCTTGTAATTTATTATATTCAGCAGCTTTGTTTTGTTTACATCAGTCATGTGGTCATTTGCTTTATCCACTGGATCTGAGCAGAATCTCTGTCCGATGCCCTGATTGAAATAAAGCAAAATGATGTGTAGCCTTTCTGAGGATGTTGTGTTTTGTCTACTATTGCCTTAGAGATGAGATGGAAATGCTAAGCTTTGTTCCTGCAACATGCAGAAAGTGAGATCCAGACGGAAAGACTGTCCAAAATATTTAAATGTGTACAGGGATTGTCCAAATAATCTTTTTCTCCAGCTTGAGTCCTTTGAATACAAAGTAAAAAATAAAATAAAAAAAACAAACAAACCAAAAGTGTCGTTAAATGTATATCTAAAACTCATATCTTAAAAATTTCATGGAGGTTACGTAATCAAAATGCAATTTCATAAACTTATTATTTTTTTTAATTGTATGGTTATTTACACAGAATGTTATTTGCAAGCACAAACGGCAGCAGCTAGCTGAAGCACTTTGGTGCAGCCTGGAGCATTTACGGCAAAAATATTACAATATTTATGTTACAATACAATACAACTTTATTTATATAGCACTTTAAAAAAAAACACCATTGGCCAAAGTGCTAAAAGTGTTGGCACAACAACGTAATACAAAACTAATGGCGATGTAAAGGAGTAAAATCAGAGTTTGCATGGATGACTACACATTTTTGTCTACAACATGCAAGACCGCTAACAGTACCATGGTGCTAGCTGGACCATGTCATCAGAACCACCAACAGGACCATGCTGTTGTAGATTCATTTCTTTTTCACTTTTGGCACCTTGTTTCTGTATTTTTGTTGCATGCTTTGAATAAATCCCAGTTTATGTTAGTTCAGTTTATGCTAGTGCTTGCATTAAGCATGTAAATTATAGACAAACAGAACCTACTAGAATCGTGCTGCTGTTGTTCGGTGTACTGTTTTGCACTATTAGTGACTAGCGTATATCTTTTAGCGTACCGTTAATGGTTCATTGCGTATATCTTAGATACTTGTTAACCATTTCTTTTTACACCTTATATTTTTGCTGTTGTTGGATGTACTGATAACTGGGACCCTGTGTACACAGTTTCGTTCCACCTCATGTGCCACATGTGATGCCAATGACAATAAAGAACCTTGAATTCTTGAATATAACTTCTTATGACCTTACCAAAAAAAAAACCAACAACCTCACTTCAAAAACTCTGAACTATTTCTTTAATTGCTGCTTTAGCAGCTTCAAGTGAAGCAGTGCGTTTAACAAATTTCAAACTAATATTTCAGACCATGAGCATATTTCACAATATTTTTAGCTGTGTATTATTGAGATCTGCGTCAATCTTGTGCAGGCTGTACAATATGCACAAAAGCAAAACTGCCCCTAAATGGTACGCAGCTACAACAAAATACTAACTCCAGTCAAAATGTCTCTGCGAAACAGATCTAAAGTATTTTAGATGCAGAACAAGGCCACCACGTTTCAGCTTCTGAGAGCGTAAGTGAATTCCCCAAAGCAAATTAGCGCAAATTAAATCTAAATTATGCTAAAACGGCGAGTGACATAAATGTGCGTCGTCATGGCTCTCCTGCTCCTCTTTACCATCTTATCCACGCTCAGCATTCTGTCAGCCTGTAGGCCACGGGTCCCTCTGCTCACTTCAAGTGCCACTGAAGTAATACCACAAAGTGAGTCATATTTTAAAGTAAACAAGTTGTGACAAGCCGGCCGAGGTTGTTTTCCTTGAACTATAAAACCTATGGCAAAACCGACAAGTAAACAAAACAAAGAAAACAGAGGAGAAAACCGAGTCTCACCTGCCAGGCGATTAGATCTTTCAGTTTGTCTATCTTCTCAAGATCCTCCGGGTGCTCCAGCATGTATTTGTCATTAAAGAAGGCCTGGGAAGAGCAAAAAGAGGCAGAAGTGTAAGTGTTTGTATAGGAAGGAAAACTGAAATGTTGAGATGTTTACAGCATAAAGAATGACAGTAAGGACAAAGACATAACTAGACAGGGGTAGCTTTATGAGTTGGTGTGCTAAGATACAAAAAAAGTAATCAGTCTGTCCTCCACTACCCGCGCAATTTCACTGAAATGAAATCGTGACCAGACAGCGAAGATTTCCCATCGCTCCTCTTCTGACTCAAACATCTTTTATGGGTCCAGTACACATCTATTCCCTGTAAGGACGAACACTGGGAAACCAGGAGGTTATCTCTCTTTGTTTTCCATTAAATGCGAGGCAAAATGTATTTCCCTTTTCCCATAGGTCACTACTGGGATGTAAGGGTCAGATAAAAAATGTGATGAAAAACAATATTAAAAAATGAGCAAAGAAAAAAACGACGAGTTATGTCATGTTAAACAAAATAATTGACATTAAATAGTTTTCAGGGAATACCATGTTCAACTTATGGAGTACAGTAGTCCCTCACTACTTCGTGGTTCGTTTTACACGGACTCGCTCTACAGCGGTTTTTCAAAATAAGATTGGATATGACACACAATTTTTTGATTGATGGATGAGCTCCACGATCGGCATGGAATTTTTATTTAAAATACATTATTTTAAATTATTTATCACTTGCTGCACCCCTCTGTGCAGACCACACTGCAGGATAAGCTTCCTCCTGCAGTTGATCGGCTGATCTCCTGCACGGAGAAGTGGGCGTGGCCGTGAGCGCTTGCACGTGGCTGAGAGCAGCCGAGGCAGGGAGCTGAAATCATGACATTCTGTGCTCTTTTAGAGTGTTTAGAATATTGCAAGAGTGTGGGAAGGGTTTAAAATGCCTTTAT